CCCCAGCTCCATGTCGACAAGGTCATATACTGTACTGCTGGCTGCTGGGCCAATGGTGAGTAGGGAAAGAACTGGGAGCTGCAGGTTGAGCAGGCCCCAAAACCGAAAAAAGTGAGAGTGAAGCGCACACGAGTCCACATGGACTCAGAACTTAATCACAGAGTGCTTGCGCGGCATTACAATCGTCAATTCGTGTGCTGCGGGTTGAATCGCTCGCTAGCTAGTGGCAGCCCACTGTATGTGACAAATTAGTCATCAGGAAACGAGGCGAGATAAATACTTAAATTTTGTTGTTATGGTATTGCTCACAAAGCAATACATAATAATACAGAATACGTCCATTTTATATCTCTATGGTATCTGTATCTTCAATGAAAGATGATGATCGATTCAGACATTGATTCAGACTAGCTTGTGGGAAATGTTGAGACAGTTTTATCTTTGTGAGAAGAAAAGCAACCATCAAGTCAATAAAGAAGCTCAGATAAAAATGGACCCCAGACAGCTCTAATGACAGTTCATGACCATGCACGTCTGGCATTTTTTATAGTGTTTGCCAAATAATAAAATCTGTATTTTCTTCAAGTTGGTTTTCCAGGAATTTACTTGACATGTAATTACTAATGTGCTCGTGCTTTCCTCATCCATCACAATTGCATTAGAAGTTTCTCTGGAATTTTAATCCAGTTGGGAATCTCACACCGGCTGACTAACTTTCAAAACATCTCCTCTGATTAAGTCACATAAATGTGCCAATACACCATTGGCCATTTGAAACAACGATTATTTATTGTTGTGTTCAGTTTATCTGAAACGTACACTTTTAATCCAACTCCTTCTTTTTTTAAGGTGAACAATGAGCCAAAACCCCTAAAATATAAAAATTTGACCAAGTGGATTACTTATGGAATAATAATAATAATAATAAAAATTATACATTGACCTACTAATCCAACTCCTTCTTTTTTTAAGGTGAACAATAAGCCAAAACCCCTAAAATATAAAGATTTGACCAAGTGGATTACTTATGTAATAATAATAAAAATTATACATTCACTGATTTTATTTATGAAGAAAATAAAATGTCTCCCAGGCAAGGCTTAACAATCCTCTTTTGGTTCAGGATTGTACACTTTTAATTGTACTGGCCTCCTAATTTCATCATGAAGATCAGTGTATAATTTACCGTATTTTCTGCACTATAGGGTGCACCTAAAGGCATCAATTTCATCAAAAGCAGACATGGCGCCCAATAATCCGATGCGCCTTATATAAAGAGACTGTAACTCTCTTTATATTCCTCATTGAGTTGTTCCCCTGTTAGTATTTAGCTAGTATTAGCATTTATAATGCCATTTGTATTTGTTTCATGTCCATGTTTGTGACCAGTTCTCATGGCTTTGTTACTGCTGCAGCAGTTGTGAAGACTCTATATCAGGGGCGGGGGGGG